ACACTCCTCAAAGCAGTTTTCCAAGCTATCCCATCGTTTATCATGTGTCTCTTCTTGTTGCCTAGATCTACTACCAATAAGATGAATTCCATGCTCAAAAGCTTCTTCTGGGGAGGCTCGACCACAAAAAAGACAATACATTGGAGAAATGGCAGAATCCTTTATGCCCCAAAAAATGAGGGAGGTATTGGATTTAGACCGTTTCATGAGTTCAACATGGCTCTCCTAGCCAAACAATCATGGAGAATCCTGACCAACCCGGATGCCTTATGGGTTAAGCTATTGAAAGGACTGTACTTTCCCCGGTCTGATTTCCTCGATGCGAAAAAAAGGAGGAAGAGCATCATGGATCTGGTCTGGCCTGTGGGAAGCGAAGAATTGGATGGAACAAGGACTCATCAGAGTAATTGGTAACGGGAGATCTATAAGAATCTTCCAAGACCCATGGCTTTTTGCAAGAGCAGGGAATCTTTTCCCGCATAGAACTTCTTTCCCGGCAACATTGGACAGCTGGATTGATGGGGTCAACAGAGTCTGGAAGGTTGATCTCCTGGAAGAGTTCCTCCCCCCCCCCCCCCTCGAGCTCCAACATGTCCTTAGTACGCCAATAGGCCCGGAAACACTACATGACTTCTGGGCGTGGCGGTTCTCTGAGCAAGGCGATTTCACCGTAAAATCAGCTTTTCACTGTTTCCACAACCACATGCGCAGAGCACAAGGGGACTATAAGGAGATCTCAGCTAACACTAAGGAACGGTGAAAATGGCTGTGGAGCCTCTCATTGCCTCCGAAGATGAAGTTCTTTATTTGGAGATGCAGCAGAGGAGCACTTGCCACAAAGGAAAACCTTCACGCGAGAAGATGCTCACAATCGAAGCACTGCCCCCTCTGCACTGATCAGGTAGAGACCATCCATCACTGCCTCTTCAACTGCCCTCATGCAGTAGAAGGATGGAAAAAGGAATGGCCATTACTCAGTGTCCCCCAACAGCACACATGCATCTTGGAGTGGCTTCATTCTCTCTGCCAAAGGTACCCTGTTTCTACAATTCAACGTATCATTTACCAGATGCGGCATACGTGGAAGGCAAGAAATGAATGTATCTTCAGAGACAAGCGAATCTGGCCGCCAGATACGCTCTCTCAGGCCCTCTGTAGCTACCAACAATGGAACTCATGCCCCTAGAAGAGGAGATTATCCCATCCTCAGCCCACTCCAACCCCGGAGCAGTCTGCACCACCGCCAGGTACTCATGACTATGAGATACACTGTGACGGATCGTTCCTACACAATTCCCAGGAGGCGACTTATGGCGTTGGTTTTCAAACATCCATGGTCATGTTTGCAACGGGAAGGCTGAGACCCTACACTGCTTTCCCCCACTTGAAGTGGAAGCCAAGGCCCTCCTGGAGGGAACTCGTTTAGCTGTCGAACTCGGGTCATCCTGTCTTATCCGCTCGGACTGCCTTTCTCTAGTTAGAGCAGTTCAAGGAGCCCCTGTGTCTTGGCCGTGGCGCGCTGCGGCATGGATTGGCACCATCAGACACATTTGTGGTTCGTACCCATGGATTCGTATCGAGTTTTTCAGTAGGAAGCTCAACTCTAAAGCAAACTGGGTGGCAAGGTCCTGTGTTAGGAACCAATTGCCCCCGGAATGGATTCATATCTTAGATGTTGTTGCTCCTCTGCTGTAACCGCTGGTTTCCACCTTTAGTAATGAAAAGAAAGTGTCCTACTATATAAAAAAAAACAAGCGGTGGTAGCAAAATCTCTCATATCTTCTGTCTCTTTCAATTTGATAAATTGTGTATCACTCTGTTCCTACTTTCCAGCACTTTGTTGTAAGTTGTAACAACAGTTGCAAACCTCAACTATAAGAACATCAAAATCAAATCAATTACACAATACGTTGTAGCATTTTTCACGTAAGAAATACAACAGGCTATTTATAAGCGCAATCATTTCTGGTAGTTGTACCGCCATTCCAGCAATTATATAAACGGACCCCAGACTGTATGATATCTCCACTCCAGGGCACCAACCAGGCTCATAGCCATTTGTTTTTATTTATTTTGTAGATGATTTTGATAGGTGATAGTGATACCAACCAGGCTCATAGCCATTCACAACCGATTCGTTCAACCTTTTTCAAGGGAAGTTAATATAACTGCATTGCTATTTGGGAGCCCGAAATGTCACTATATTTGTCGTCATAAGAGCATTCACATTGGATTGCATTCTCAATAACAAGATTATATGAAATGGGTGTTTGCAATTGCAAAACCAATTGCATTTATGTGTCTATCAATTGCATACTTACAAGCCTGCAACAAATTCAATTACATATGCAAGTAAAAAATCCCTAAAAAAATCGAATTTTTTTATTTTATATATTTTTCCTCTTTTACTTTATTTTCTATGATTTAAACATAATATTTAATAACATATGCAATTGCAAGTTAATTACATTAATGTAGGTAGGTGAATGAAAGTGATTTGAGGTGGATTGAAAAAAATTGAATTGACGAAGAACTCTTCTGATATAGGAATTCTCTGAAATGCTCGGTACGAACCCTTTGTCGCGGTTGCTCCGGCGTCAATACGGCCTCCTCTGGTCGGCCGCCGGATATCCAACAAAGAAATCAAACCCTCACGTAAACTATTCGTCCGTCGCTTGATTGACTATGATATTAGTGTTATCATATGATCTCTGACCGTCAATTTAAGCAGACAATGTTAAATTGTCACCGACTCACCTTGACAACATTTTCATAGGTTGTCAAGCTAACCCATTCCAAACGGCAAGTTATCTCGTGACATTTTTTTTAAATGTTATTTGATTCATGTGCGATTGTAAATTGTAATTGTCAGAACAGAAGCGTGCAATCGATAATCCAGACCAACACGAACGAACACGAATTTAACGTGGTTCACTAACACAATGTGTGCTAGCTAATCCACGGGCAGGGGAGAACAAATTTCACTGATTTGAGGAGAGTACAGGTTACAAAGCAAATTTCAAACGGACAAACCAAACAAACTAACCTGACTGACCTTACTACAGATTAGGGTGATGAAGAGTATTTATAGAACTCTTCTCCTAATCCCAAACAGAAAACCAAACACCTTTTTCCCAAACACACAACGAAAAGGTCAAACAAAGCCCAAACACAAACCCAAACAAAATAGACCCAAAACACAAAAAAAGAAACCAAATCAAATTCAAGTCATATTCTAACAATCTCCACCTTGACTTGAATTCTCTCTCAAATTCCAAATGTACCAGATACAACCAAAGTTGCCAGATGTACCAGATGCAACCAAAATTGCCAAATGTACCCAGACGCGATACATATCACCAAATTTACCCAGATGCGATCATAATCGCTAGATATCCAGATGTGATCGAAATCACCAAACCCAAACGCGATGCAAATCGCCAAACTCAAATTCAACCAAAATTTTCAGACACCAAACTCTTCAAATCTCCGAATTTGCCAGAACCTCCCCTGCCTCCAAATGGCCCTAGGGCGGTTAACAAATCAAAACATGCAGCAAGTTCAACACATGTTGTAACTTGCCATCCAGAACTAGCTTGGTGTTATTTCCGTCCATAACACCAATATCAAATTTACCTTTAACTCCAAACATGCAACTCCAAACAGACTTCTCAATCTTTATACTGATAGCAGCCATTCTTACTATTAAACAAACTCCAACCAAACTTCTCACCAAACAAACAAACGAGACCAAATCCAAATCTCCACCAAAAGCAAATAATGGCCATTGCCAACTCAAAATCCAACAAAAGCTTCAGCTGCTTGCTTCCTGGTGGGTGCGGCAGAATTGTGATGATTATCACAATCAATCCACCGCCAAACAGACCGCCACAATTAATCAAGCGGAGAAAGTTAATTGTGCAACGAGACAAAAACTTAATTGTGCCACGATCACACGAAGCTTTCTTGGATGTTCGTGATTGCGGTCTCCGGAATGGAATTGCAAGGTTTGCAATTTACCCCCTCGCAGTCAGATATGTAACCAGAAGCTCCGGTTCAAAATAGTACGCAATTCCTTGAAACTCAACCAAGCTCTGATATCACTTGTTAGAACAGAAGCGTGCAATCGATAATCCAGACCAACACGAACGAACACGAATTTAACGTGGTTCACTAATACAAAGTGTGCTAGCTAATCCACGGGCAGGGGAGAACAAATTTCACCGATTTGAGGAGAGTACAGGTTATAAACCAAATTTCAAATGGACAAACCAAACAAACTAACCTGACTGACCTTACAACAGACTAGGGTGATGAAGAGTATGTATAGAACTCTTCTCCTAATCCCAAACAGAAAACCAAACACCTTTTTCCCAAACATACAAGGAAAAGGTCAAACAAAGCCCAAACACAAAGCCAAACAAAATAGACCCAAAACACAGAACAAACCCAAATCAAATTCAAGTCATATTCTAACAGTAATCACACTCAAATACGCATAAGATCAATGAGAAATGGTGCTCACAATTTATTTTTGTGAGGATTATATAGGTTTATGTTTTAATTAGATGTTACATAAAGAATTCGAACATGAGACTTTCAAATTCAAAACCTGTTATATTAATTATCACTATACCAATTTCTTGTTTACTATGATATGCCCAATTGTCCGATGAATGTAATTGGAAATTTCACCGTCTACAATTCTCAGTAAGAAACTCATCCAAAAACTAATGCTACAATTCTCAATCAAATTAAATTCATTGACAAAGAAGTTTTAACTCAACCTGGTGAGTTCTTATAAGTTAACATCCTTGATATAAATCCAAGTACAACCTGTCACAATACATCACACAAATCAAAGATCAATTCAAACTAGCCACTTGGAACTATAGAAAATTTGTATCTTATATCATTCTCTTATACGACAGCTAGAGATAAAGAATCCACAAAACATGAATAACTTTTCGGCATGTATCGAATTCTTTCCAATTTTGTCATCAATATCGCTTGGTGAGTGAGACAGTCAAACTGACAAGAGTAGGACTCTCCTTGGCCATCCAATCGGAGAGAAGGAGACCGTACCTCCTGAAAACCTCATCAATGATTTCCCTCGAGGAATCGAAGTGATGGGCGATGATCGGACCAAACACCGCCTCCATGCACTTGGAAAGTTTGTAGCCACCGTCTCCGGCGGGCAAGCTCATCACTTCCCCCTCGTAGGCGTCCCAATTCATATCCCATAACTCCAGGTGTTCAATGGCGAAGGAGCCCTGTTTCTCGACCTCGGCTTCCACTTCCATGGCGGATGGCATGTACATTGGAAGGTTGAAGGAATCCAATTTTTGTTGATCAATCAATCCCTACAAATGAGACCACGACAGATAGTTATATACATGTGAGACTTCAAAATAGAATCTTACCTTACTAAATGAGCCGAACTGAGCCGAGTTTTACCCCAGTTTGAGCTTGACTCGTTAACAAATGAGCTGAGCTCGAGCCCGAGCCATTTATTAACGAGTTGAGTTGAGTCGAGTTCGAGCTAGGCTTGTTTACTAAATTCTTAGATCGTATTTAATACATTCATTTTGTATGTCGTGTATGGTACATGTGATTGATGTAGCGATAAAAAAAATAATAAAATGTTCAACATTAATCAATCTTATATTATAATTTTTAGGTGTCATATTGTTTAGTTAATTAATTTTAACTAGTTCAAATCATGTTATTTCATAGTATCGAAACAATTTTGTACATAATTTCTTTATAGAATTAAAAATAAGGCATATTTTCTTACTTGTTCAACATGTTAAACTTCACATGATGTGAAATATATAATTTAACAATCCTATGAATTATGAAAGTCCAAATTAGATCGATTAGTCCATAAGTCAGTGATCAAGTTGGCCCTCAAACCACAATGTTGAGACATATCACGAGCTCTAAATGAGCCAACTCACGAGTTGAGCTCAACAAGCCACCGAGTTGAGCTCAACAAGCCACCGAGTCGAGCTAGCTCGCGAGCTTCACGAGCTGAACAAAGCTAGGCTCAAGCTTGGCTCGTCAGTAAACGAATCGAGTTTCGAACGAGTTTTTCCCGATTCGAGCCTCGAGTTGCTCGCGAGTAGCTTGACTCATTTGCAGCCCTACTAGTAATTACTAACAATACTTTACATGATGTAAGTGTGGTTAGTTAATTAAAATTGGTTGCGATCTCCTGCAGTAATATGGACACAATTTCAAGTTAGTTAATTTGCATCAATCTGTACCGTTAAAAATATACTAAATTCAATTCACGACTTTGATTACCACAGGCGGTATATGTTGTCACTTATCAACCTTTTACAACCATTACGTAGAATGCACATCCATTACGTAAATATTACGGAACGTTAGGTGTTTGATATTCATTACGTAAACAGTTAATTAATCAGAATCGTAACGTAAGACTTCTGTAATGACTTATCACTTTACGTAACGTGAGGTCAACATTTATTACGTAAAAGGATCTCGTCCATCACGTAAAGACTTCTATAGTGACACTTTACAACTGTTACGTAAAATAAGCATGCTTTACGTAACCATTACGTAATGACTATTGCATTTTGCGTAATGCGAACCGTGAAATTTGTTGTAGCAGGTAACAAAATTCAAGTAACCTTATCCTTATGTCAAGGGGATGTAGGAAATTCCTAATGAATTTCTAACTTTCGGTCTACAAAGTTGCTAAATTTTAATAAATATCTTACCCAATTAGATAATTTGTCAACCCGAAGAAGCTGTTTTTTTTTCTTTCAATAAGAATTTGAAAATGTGGATTTCTTTTTGTTCTCTTACCTCAGAAGCCATTTGGTTGAGAGCTATCGACATAAGTTCCCAAATATAGCAACACTCTTTCTCAGAAGATTCTTCACCTCTCCTTCCAGGGAGTGTCAACACCATCCGACCTCCAATCACCAATTCCTGAGACTTAGACTTCAAGAAGGAAGAAAAGTCCATATGGAATTGTCTGTAATAGGCTTCCAAGACACCTGGAGGGCTGCTACTGGCCAAGTAAATGTTTCCCTTGTTCTCCTCCAGACCCTGAGGAACCCGAGATCGCCAGTGAAGACTGTAGGAAGAGTGAATGAAGTGAAGACTATCAGTCGAGAATATCCTGTCGTAGAAAGAACCTGGAACTCCGACGATGAAAGCCTGGGCTCCCATTTATTTCTTCATATTTTCCTTGAATCCTTGAATGGATTTGAAGACATGGTTGAAGTCGTTTCCAGGGAGGTCGTTCAGGAAGATCTGAAGCTCGGGAGATTCCTGCCCTAGCTCCTTGGAAAGGTTGTGGACGAACTTGATAACCTCCGACATGAGGAGAAGAGTGTTGGGTCCTGAAGCGCAACCCAAATCTGCCATTACCAGCCTGCCTTTGCCTTTGGGGAAGCTCGAGCTACGCATCAGTTCTGCAACGTTTTCCTTTGTTATCGGCAGGGTCCTTGTGATCCCCTTCCGCTGCAAATTGACCGGCGCGTTAGTAAATGATATATGATCCATAATTAATCTTTTTCAACAACTTGAGTTATTAAGATCAAGTCCTGCAAGTCTATTCAAGTCCTCATGACTCCACTATTAATAATTGATGATCGATTAAAGCACAATAGTATGGTAGTGGGCATGTACAAATGTCAGTTATTAAAATAATGTAAAACAAGTCTTGTATATAATTCAAAAACCAACAAATTCCAATAACTCGATCATATTTAAACAGATCATCGATCACTTGCAAGTCATTTACCTGAAGCAAGGAGTTCAAGGCATAGCTGGTCTCTTCCAGGCCGCCATTCATATGCAACACGTTAGCCATTTCCACGAGAGAGTTGCGGCAGATCAAATGCTTCTTTTCTTTCCAATGCTTTTGAAGTTTCGTTGGTGTCTCGTTCTTGCACAGTCGGATGCTTACATGTGGATAAGCGTTGAGTGATGATTTGCAATGAAACCTGTTGGGGAAATGTAGATGAGCCCATGTAAGCCCAAAAGCATAATGGGCTTCGAGCCCATTAATGGCCCTTTGAGACATGACTTGGGGGGACCAATGGTAAGGAGGCGCATGGCGACAAAATAGGCTCGTGGACAAAGGAGTACGGCATAGGAGGATCGGAAAAGCACCGCGTATGTTGATGGTCCCCCCATGCGCCCTGACACCCGAGCCGGAGGACGCGCCACGTGGAGGCGCCCGGACGTTGGACCAGACCAAGCATTAAATGCCTTAACTGACGTAAGGCTCGGTGGCAGGAGTTGGTCGGAGCCTGGTCGAGGAGCTCGAGTAGTATAAATAGTGCTCGGTAGGTGGCATTTAAGGAAGTCGGTTTCTCTCACTAAATCACTATTTCTTCACTTATCTCTCTAGAACTAGCACTGACTTGATCGTCGGAGTGCTAACGAGTGGCTACGGCCCTCTAGGCGCTAGTTTTGCAGGGTCTGAGCGCCTGCGGTGTGGTGGTTAGGGTGCGATTGGTAGAGTGAAGTATCCGGGCTTCAACAATTGGCGCGCCAGGAAGGGGGCGCCAAGCTTGAGAGGATATAGGAAGATGGAAGACTTGAACGAAGGAAATGCAGGCGTGGACGATGCGAGAACGGAGGACTCCGGACATGAGGGGAGTGGGCAACGGTCTAGCCCAGTGGTGAGCATGGAGGTAGAAGAAGAGAGTCGTGAGCGCCCCTCTATGGAGAGTGATTCGTTGTCCAAGAGGGAGCTGTATAAGATCATCGCGGACCAGGACAAGGCAATAGCCATGCTCCGGAGGGAATTGGAAGGTGGAAGGAGCGCCGATACGAGAGAATACAACCCCCCAGTAAGGAAGCGCGACAGGCTCGTGGATGATTCGGACGGTAGTGAGTATGGGCGCCCATATTATGAAGGGCCGCATGTAGAAATTACCCCGCCTAGGCGCCCGTCTGGGTGGAGAGCGCCTGGTGAGTTGGCCGGCTCCGGGCCGGAGGAGCAAAACCCATGGACGCCTAGACGCCAGACGAGGCGCTTTGGGATCAGACAACCCCTGGCGCAAAGTGTCCTGATGGAACCAGCAGGAACTACCCTACCGCCTCTGACCAGCTATGATGGGTTCACTGACCCGGAGGATCATTTGAATAGCTACTTTACGAAGATGCAGCTGTATAACAGCACGGATGCCACGCTATGCAAGGTGTTCCCCTCGACCTTCGCGGGAGTAGTTTTGGACTGGTATCATCAATTGGAGGAGGGGCGCATTGAGTGCTTTGAACAGTTCGCGGAATTGTTCTTGTCCAAATTTGCGAGCCGGAAGCGTAGAACACTAACTATAGGCGCCTTGTTTAAAATCAAGCAGAAGGATGGGGAGGCGCTTAGAGAGTTTTATGACCGGTGGATTTCGGTCGCCATGGCTGTGAAGGATGTGCAACCGCCCGTGCTGGGCGTATGCCTAGAAGAATGCACGAGCAGCGAGGAGTTATGCCGAGTACTGTCGAAAAAGGCTGTAGTTTCAACAGAAGACTTGGATCGGAGGGTTCAGAAGGTGATTGCATTGGAGGAGACCTTGGCTGCAAGAAGGGCAGAGAAGAGGCGCGTGGGCCGAGAAGAGATTGAAGGGCGCCAGGCTCCCAGACCATTCTTTATGAACAACGCCCCGCAGAGGAGAGTGGAGAGTCAGCGTCCCTTGCCCAGGAGTGCGGGAAACTTTACGGAATACAACGATTCCTTGAAGAACATTTTGCAATACGTGAAGGATAGAGGGTACCATGTGCGCTGGCCGGGACCCATGCGCGGGCAGCCGAATGAGCGAAATCTTGACCGATTCTGCGACTTCCATCGGGATAAAGGGCACCATATGGCCGATTGCTACCAGCTAAAATCGGAGCTGCAGACTCTAGCCGATCGAGGGATGCTCAACGACTTTATAAGAAAAACAGACGAGCGGACCCATCGTGCTTACGTCACAAGGGAAACAAGGCAGGCACCCGTTCTCCCCACAGTGCCACAGGCGCCCGTCCTCCCCACAGTGCCACAGGCGCCTGAGGTTCATCCACCCCCGCTTGAAATACCCCCGCCCCCGTTTGAGGTGAATCAAGAAGGAGAACCTGGCCGGGTAAGACTCACCGTGGAATCCATAACTGGTACCGTTGACTTGCGGGATAAATTGGATCGTTCTAGGCGCCTCAGGGCGGCGTCTGTGGAAGCAAAGGCGGCCGTCCAGATATGCTTTAATCAGGAGGCGGAGGAGGCATGTCAAGTGCCCTCGGAGGAGGCTTTGGAGATACAAGGAATCATTGCAGGGTGCAAAGTTAAAAGGATGTTGGTGGATACGGGAAGTTCGATGGACGTTTTATTCAAAAGCACGTTCGAGCGCATGCAGTTGGCGCCGGAGTTGGTAAGCCCCTCTGATTCTGTGCTGATTGGGTTCTCGGGGGCGCCTGCTCATGTGATAGGGCGTGTGCGCCTCCCGGTTACGTTGGGTGATGAAATGCATCGAGTGACACATGCAGTGGAGTTTGGGATAGTGGATTGCCCCTCACCGTACAATGTGATACTGGGGAGGCCCCTCTTGGCATTATTTAATGGGGTGGCCTCAACTTGTCACCAAACATTGAAGTTCGTCGCCCCGCAAGGCATAGGAGTCTCAAGAGGAGAAAGCGCCCCCCGCTACGCGCGAGAGGAAGAAAGAAGAAGGAAAGGCGCCCGAAGGCCCAGGGTAAACAACATAGATATCCGCCCAGAAGAAGCGCCTAGAGCAGAGCCCGTGGATGATGAGTTCAGTGTGCCGATCGAAGAAGGGCGCCTAGATCGTCAAGTGCGAGTGTCGGCACAGGCGCCAGAGCACATGAGGGCGCCCTTAATCAACTTGTTAAGAGAATTCGGGGAGCTCTTTGCGTGGAGCCCTCAGGACATGCCAGGAGTGTCCCCAGACGTGGCGGCGCACCGGCTGGCCGTCGAAGAAGGAAAAAGACCTGTCCAACAAAAACGAAGAAATTTGACTCAAGAGAAAGAGGAAGCCCTGCGGAAGGAAGTCGATAAGTTGCTCGAGGCAGGATTTGTTGAGGAGGCCAGGTATATCACTTGGCTGTCAAACGTGGTATTCGTCCCAAAGCCGTCGGGGGATTGGAGAATGTGCGTGGACTTTACCAACCTTAATCGGGCGTGCCCGACGGATGCTTACCCGATGCCGCGCATTGACCTGCTTGTGGATGCCACGGCCTACCATGAAGCGCTTAGCTTCCTTGATATGTTTTCGGGGTATCATCAAATTCCCATGGTGGAGGAAGATAGAGCAAAGACCGCCTTTATGACCCCTTTCGGCAATTTCTGTTATAGAGTGATGGCATTTGGTTTGAAGAATGCAGGCGCCACATATCAGCGTATGGTAAATCAAATCTTTCGTGGGCAGTTGGGAAGGAATGTCGAGGCATATGTTGACGATTTGATTGTGAAAAGCAAGAGGCGCTTAGACCACATCTCGGACCTGAGGGAAACATTCGAGACTATGCGCCTGTACAAGCTGCGGCTCAACCCGAAGAAGTGTGCGTTCTTGGCAGAAGCCGGTAAATTTTTGGGATTCATGATCACAAAGAGAGGAATTGAGGCCAACCCCAAGCAAGTTGAGGCAATCATGAATTTGAAGCCCCCCCGAACGCCTAAGGAGGTGCAAGGGTTGACGGGAAGATTGGCGGCGCTTGGGCGCTTCATTCCACGAGCCTCCGATCGAGGCGCCCCCTTTTTCAGAACTCTAAAAAAGGCAAGCAAGTTTAAATGGACGGAGGAGTGCGATGAGGCATTCGGAGATTTAAAGAAGTTGCTAACCGCGCCCACTGTGATGACCGCGCCTAAGATCAAGGAGACGCTGTACTTGTACATCGCGGTGTCCCGGATCGCGGTGAGTGCGGTGTTGGTGTCCAAAGATCCGTCAACGAATGAGGAGAGGCCGGTATACTACGTGAGCCGCACCATGGTGGTGCACGAAACAAGGTACGCGCCCATTGAAAAAGCAGCGTTGGCAGTGGTGATGGCGGCTAACAAACTCCGACCTTACTTTCAAGCTCACAGCATCGTGGTACTCACGAACTTGCCTCTCCGAACGGTCCTCGGGTCCATGGATGTTTCGGGGCGCCTGGTTAAATGGGCCGTCCAGTTGAGCGAATTTGATGTAAGTTATGCGCCCAGACCAGCCATCAAGGCGCAAGTGCTGGCTGAGTTCGTGGCTGAAGGAGTGGTTGACGCGGGGGATGGCGCGGAAGAGTGTTGGCAAGTTCAAGTGGATGGAGCGGCAAGTCGAGCTGGAGCGGGAGCAGGTATTGTGCTAATTAGTCCCCAGGGCGCGATGCATGAGGTCGCGCTGCGTTTTGCAACTCTTAAGACGAACAATGCGGCAGAATACGAAGCGGTCCTGGCGGGGCTCCACATGGCAAGGGAGCTGGGCGCCCAGAGGGTTAATATTCAGACTGACTCAGCGCTCGTGGTCAATCAATTGAACAATGTGTACGAGGTGAAGGAGGAGGCGCTCGGGGCATATGTTCAATCCGTCAAAGAGAAGTGTGTGTGGTTTCGGGAGGTTATGTTCACACACGTCCCAAGAGAAGAGAATGCCCATGCGGATGCCCTATCTAAATTGGCCACGGCGTTGGATTTTGGAGAAGACAGAAAAGTGATTGTTACCAAGGAAGCCCCGCGTGATAAGGGGGTGATGGCATCTATCCTCGTGGGAGCAATGGAAGGATGGATGGCGCCTATCATGCGTTACCTAACGCAGGGCGTGGTCCCGGAGGATCCCAAAGAGGCTTGGCGTTTGAGAAGGAAAGTGGCACGATGTGTCCTCAGGGAAGGAGTGTTATACAAAAGATCCCACTCGGACGCCTATCTACGTTGTCTCACGGAGGCAGAAGGACAAAAGGCTATCGTGGAAGTGCATCAAGGAACGTGTGGAATGCACGCAGGCGCCCGGAGCCTAGAGAAAGTGTTGCTAAGGCAGGGTTATTACTGGCCCACAATGAGGGTCGACGCTGGGAAGCATGTGGCCGAGTGCCACCAATGTGAAATCCATGCCAACGACATACATGTGCCGGCTGCGCCCATGCAGGGAAACGTAGGCGCCTGGCCGTTCGCACAATGGGGGATGGATCTTTTGGGACCCTTCCCCAAGGCGCCCGGGCAATTTAAGTACTTGATAGTGGCTATTGACTATTTTACAAAGTGGATTGAGGCAGAACCCTTGGCATCCATCACTGAAGTGCAAGTGCGGAAGTTTACAAGAAAGAACATCTTTACAAGGTTCGGGCTGCCGGAGTCGATCATCACCGATCATGGCAAGCAGTTTGATTGCAAGAAGTTTATCGACTTCTGCGACGAAAATGGGGTGGTCCTGAGATTCTCTTCTGTAGCTTATCCGCAAGCAAACGGGCAAGCTGAGGCGGCCAACAAGAGTATATTGCATGGGCTGCATACCAGGCTTGCAGAAGCCAAGGGGAACTGGGTGGAGGAGCTCCCAAGCGTCTTGTGGGCGCACAGGACCACCTTCAAAGTTGCAACCGGAGAAACACCCTTTGCACTGACGTATGGCAGTGAAGCGGTGTTACCAGTGGAGGTTTCCATCCCGACCTTTCGGATGGCGCATAGGGGGGAGGCAGTGGAGGAACAGGAGCGGATCAATGAATTGGACCTTCTCGATGAGCGTCGTGAAAGGGCGGCTCTGCGCCTGGAAGCAATGAAGTCTCAAGTAGCCCGATACTATAACAAGAAGATGCGCTCGCATGACATTGTGGCCGGGAGCTTGGTGCTGAAGCGCGACTTTCGCCCAAAAGCCACTGATGGTAAGTTGGCACCAAAGTGGAAAGGGCCATATCGCGTGCAAGAGGTAGTCGGGCCGGGCACGTTTAAGCTGGAGCACTTGTCGGGAAAGAAGTTCAAGAGAACTTGGAACGCGCAAAACCTGCGAAGGTATGAAATCGGGGAAGTAAGTGTGATGGGAGAAGAGGGTAAGGTACCCGAAGGGGCGCCGAGCAGGTGGTAATTACGAAGGGGAAAGGCAGAGTCTTGGGGTGTTTTTTGGTAGGAGTAGAGTAAAGCGCTTTAATGCGCCCGGGATTTTTAATGCGCCCGGGATACTTAAAGCGCCCGGATATATATTTATGTAAAGCGCCCAATTCAGCGCCCGGAAATATTTTTGCAAAGCGCCCTTCAGCGCCCGGGATACTTAAAGCGCCCGGAAATAGCGCCCCAAGATCGTTCTTCCTTTTGAAATCGGAATATATACATACATGGATACTTCCTTGGCTATAGCACCGATTTATTGTGCCCTTAATGCGCCCGACAGACACTCATAAAGCGCCCTCGCACCAAATGCTCGTGCCATCAGTAAGGCATGAACGTACCCTTAATCGTACCAAGACTTGACGAAAATAATTTAAAGCGCGGAAGTTAAATGATTGGCAAAGGGTCGCCAAAGTAGTAGGCGCCTATGATATATAAATACGAGAAAGAGACTGTTATAAGTTCATGAAACACATCGCACAAAACAATAAACTTCCAAGAGTTCTACAGAATGTGGAAATTCAAAATAGTAGGCGCCTATTCTTCCCCTGACTCATCGCTGGAGTCCGAGCCCGAATCCGAACCTTCTTCATCCGCTTGATCTTTGGTGGGAGCAGGAGGGGCATCAACAATGGGGCGCCCGCTTGACATAAAGTCAATCACGAAGTTGGCCATCTCCTTAACATCCCAATTGATGGTGGGATGATCAGCCTCAAGCTTCCTTTTCAATATAAGAATGCTGTTGAGGGACGCTTGAGCCTTTAGCGCCAAGTCTGATGTAGGCGCCCCTGTTCCAGCCTTCTCCGCCTTAAGCGCCTCCTATTCTCCTTTGCCAGAATCTTCTTCTCCTTCTGAAGCGCCTTCTTCTCTTCGGTAAGGAGGTCAATTTCACTCCTCTGGGCGCCCGCCTCCTTGTCGAGATCATCCCTTTCCTTCACCAATTTGGCCATCTCCTCGTGATGCGCCCTTTTGACAGTCTCAAGATGCGCCTCATGCTCTGCTTTCAGTCTCTTCTTTTCCTCGTCAATGGAATGTTGAACGAGGGAGGCCGCTTTGGCAGCCTCAAGATTGGCAGTCTCGCATGCCTGCACTAATTCCGCTTGGCGCCTCTGCGCTGTCTCCAAATCATCCCTCATCACGCTAAGGGAATTGCAGGCTTCATTTTCCCCAACGCGCAGCGCCTCTCCAGCCAGTGCGCCATTCTTAGCAAGTAAGAGCATCTAAAAGAGGAGATCAATAAAAAAATTACACATAAACGAAATAAGTACGCGTAGGAAAGTGATGGAAAACACAAGGTGAGCGCATACCTGAGCAGCCATGCGCGCAACCTCACCCCATAAGTTCGCACCTTGAACTTCACTGGGCGCCCTCAATACCTCGGCCGCATGAAAGGCAAAGCTAAGCGCGGGGGCTCTCTCCAGAGCAGATCTGTCGGAGCAGGCAATGTTGACTCTGTGCTTGGGGGGTTGTAGCCATTTCTCGACAAAATCCGGGACTTTCTCCTCTGCGCTCGTGCGCTGCTTCTTGCTCTGCGCCCCGGTATCACCCTCCACCTGCTTGCGCTTCAGCTTTGGCACAAGTGGAAGATCATCGATATCCAGCTCGGCATCAGAAGGAATTTTTGCAACAAGCGCCTCCTCGTCGAGTTGCACGAAAGCAGGCGCAGTCTCTTCCTCCACTAAAGGGGCGCTGGCTGCCTTTTGTGGTTTCATGCGCCCCTTTCCAGTGGGTGCGGTGATAGGCGCATCGCCCTTAGCCCCGGAGGATGAGGATTTGTTCTTCCCTTTCTTTGAAGAACTTCGCCGCTGGCGTGAGGACGCCTTACCACTGACCTTGGGCGCCTGGTAGTCCAAACCCAGACCCTCAAGTTGGGTCTTCATCAACGATGCTATGGTAGTGAAGTCCACACCTGCAATGGAGCACACATTGTTAAGTAAAAGCATGATGACGGTTAGGCATGTGAAAGAAAAATGGGGGCGCATTCAAATTTGTAACAACATCAGAGCGCTACTAAGCGCCTACCTACCGTCAGCATAGTACTCATGCAAGACAGGAGTTCTAGCGGCCGTCGAACTAAGGTTCACGGGGTGTTCAGATATTAGGCGCGCGTGCTCTTTTTCCATAGTGGATAATTCCACGTCAACATTGAAGCGCGTGGTGTTACCAACTTTCCAAGCCCGGACGAAGCGCTCACCACTCTCATAAAAAGACTCCGCTCGTGGCTTAATGAAAAAATACCCCCTGTACCACTTGCGCCCCAACTTTGGGCAGTCTTCTACAAAGTGTCTTGGAATATCCAGGCGACTCTGAAGGGACAAGCAATTATCACTGCTGGTCATAGTGAAGAAGTACTGAAAAAGCTTAAACGTCGGGGTGATGTTGTTCTGCCGACACTTCAGCTTAAATAAGATATGAATCAGAAAAACCGATGGCGATAGGCGCCCGAGAGAGCAGGCGCATGTGGTGAGGATCCCTTCCAAAATCGAATCTAAGGGAAACCGCAGCCCGAACTTAAAGTACTCCCTATATATACCAAGCCACCGTGGGCCAATTGCTCCTATCCTGGCAATTGGGGACGCAGGCGCATAAGACCAGGTGCGAGGGAGGTTGCAAGAGGTAATTAATCGATGCATTTCCGCGAACTTGATGGTGGACGAGTGTTTCGGCCCAGCACGCCGAACGGACAGTTTACTCGTACTGTCAGGCGCCTCCCCTTGCGGCCATGTGTCTTCCCAGTCCACTATCTTGAACGACCCATCTTCAGGGGCGCCCGAGTCGGTGGATGCCGGAGAAACAGCCGAATCACCTGACTTCGACGGGGTAGGCGCGGAGCCTATAAGTGATCGAAGCGCCCTTGGTCAATACGGAGGACCTAAGCCTTTGGTGGGCGCCTAGCAAGGAATCAACATACACCGAAAATTCAAAGAACGGAGGAAAAGGCATCTTACCCTAGTTAGTCGTGGAGGGCGCTGGAGTGGTAGCAGTGGGAGCTATGGAGGCCGCCGCCACTATATGCGCCTCCTCGCCGGTGGGCGCGGAAGACGAGGGGGCCGATTTTGTTTGTTTAGGCGCCTCTTTGTGGGATCTAGGCCCCCGTTGATCTTGATTTCGCAACGGGTCAGGTGAAAGGTGCTTCTCAAGCACATCCAATACGCTAGGCGCCGCGCTTCCGCCCTTCTCGGTGGAGGTGTGGGTCACGCCTGAGTCTGCTTGAGACATGGTAATCGGACGAGGATAGGCGCACGGGAGAGCAGAGTATAGGGCGCGCGGGCTAGAGAGGAGGGATCGGTTAGAGAGAGAAGCTAGAGAGAGAAAGGAATTGGGGGCGAATGAAGGGAAGAGGGGAGGAAGATGAATATTTATAGGAGAAGGGAGGTGGAGAGTCACCTCGAGATACGCGCGCGCCGAACGGGCCAATCCTCGCCCTTCGTTCAAAATTCGAAATTCGAATTTCAAAATTCGAAATTTGATCGAACGTCGAGTGGGGGGCGAGGGGTACGGTCACGCGCCCCCTTTTCAGTCGTATGGTTACGCGCTCCACTTCTATCGTTTTATCTTTATTCGAAGGAAATCAAAAGATTATAGGGTGGAACACGCGCGCCCCCTTTTCAGTCGTATGGTTACGCGCTCCACTTCTATCGTTTTATCTTTATTCGAAGGAAATCAAAAGATTATAGGGTGGAACACGCACGGTGTGAAACAGGCGCACGTGCCACGGTAGGTGGATAGAGCAGCTGGAGGCGCAAAAGCTAAATGCAGCAGGCGCCCGACTGAATCCAATAAGGCGGGAAATCGTAAACGGGCGTCCATCTTTCATTACTCTCATAAGATAGGGTGAATGTTCACAAGCACGGTTAGTGTCCAGCGGGCGCATAGTGTGGGGGGCAAGGTACCGCTGGGCGCCTGCTAATACTTTGTATAAGGGAGAGCAGCCAAGCGCCTTATTCCAATTATTTTTCCTTGCCCTAAGGGAATCAACGGGTCATGGGGCAAATACCATGGCGGGTGCGTTGAAACAATCGGAGGCGCGAAGTCTAGGCAGAAAATTAATACGGGCGCCCGGCTGAATTCGGTAAGGCGAGGGGTCGCAAGTGAGTGTATATTTCTCCTTGCTTTCATAAGAGTGGATAAACAGTCACAAGCATAAGTGGGGAAGGTAACGCAAGGCGCCTGCTAAAGCATCTGATGAAGAAGAATGGCGAACGGCTACCTTAACGGGGCCCATGCACCGAATTAATTCTTTCATAGTTAGGCGCTCACTTATGAGCACCTAACTGGGGGGCAATTGTTGGGGAAATGTAGATGAGCCCATGTAAGCCCAAAAGCATAATGGGCTTCGAGCCCATTAATGGCCCTTTGAGACATGACTTGGGGGGACCAATGGTAAGGAGGCGCATGGCGACAAAATAGGCTCGTGGACAAAGGAGTACGGCATAGGAGGATCGGAAAAGCACCGCGTATGTTGATGGTCCCCCCATGCGCCCTGACACCCGAGCCGGAGGACGCGCCACGTGGAGGCGCCCGGACGTTGGACCAGACCAAGCATTAAATGCCTTAGCTGACGTAAGACTCGGTGGCAGGAGTTGGTCGGAGCCTGGTCGAGGAGCTCGAGTAGTATAAATAGTGCTCGGTAGGTGGCATTTAAGGAAGTCGGTTTCTCTCACTAAATCGCTATTTCTTCACTTATCTCTCTAGAACTAGCACTGACTTGATCGTCGGAGTGCTAACGAGTGGCTACGGCCCTCTAGGCGCTAGTTTTGCATGGTCTGAGCGCCTGCGGTGTGGTGGTTAGGGTGCGATTGGTAGAGTGAAGTATCCGGGCTTCAACAAAACCTACCCCAAACAATTCACATGGCAGGCCTCAATTATATCATCAATGCATGAGTTTATGGAGTCATCCAAGTTGCAGAACATGGCCGGGACAGCAAATATCAAGAAACAAGTCAAAGGAATGGATTGGGATTTGAGTTGCATGCAGTCAAAGTCGTGATTCTACGAGAAAGTATTGTGGTGATCTAGATTCTAGAGACGTAAGAACTTAAACTTTTAAGTATAGATATTGACTACATTTATAAGGGAAAAACTTGATTAAGCGTAAACTTTAAAGCTCGATTTCACTATATTACTTGTGCATAGTATATTATTGTTTTGTGATTCATTCCAATTTTGTGTTAAATCATTTATGGTAGTTGTACCGCCATTCCATTTGTGTATAGCTGATTGTTTTCTTGTTTTTTCTATTTTTTTTTTTGTCACATTAATTGGTCGAGCAATTATATAAAGGACTCCCAGACTGTCTGAATCTGATATCTCCAGGTCACAAACCAAGCTCTCTCAGCCATTCGTTTTTATTTATTTGGTAGATTATTTTGATAAAGGGCCAGTTCTCTTTTGTTTTAATAGGTGATAGTGAATCTGCAATGCCCTAAACCCTAAACAGTCGGCACTATTTTTATTAAAATACTCTTAAAATCAATTAGCATTAAATACATTGAATAATAATGGAAATGCTATAAAAGCGTAGACATAAAAAGTCCACATACCTTGAAACATCTTGACGTAGTAAATACCCATCGTAAATTATCGTCAAGTCTCTCGTGTTACTGAAGTATTGAACTGAATTCATCATACTGGAAGTCCTCTGGAACTGGAAATCATTCGATTGTCATGTCTGGCCGTAAGTGAATGCCTAGAAGTGTACCTGATACTCCTGGAAGTACTCCTGAGTAGAGGCATTGGGGTCAGTCCTAATCCTCGATCGTCCAATGCTTAGTACATTATTATCTTTAAATTCAATTGGATCTTACTTCTTATGAATAGGACCCCTGAACTCAACTTAACTAGTACAATCGTCCGGCCACCAAACCATGACAGACGATGAAAAACATAATAACATGTCAACATTACTTCCACCTAATGTGAAGAAGTAACCGTGAACTCTCTAAAGCAACTAATCAAAATACCAACACTTGCAAACATGACATTTGGAAACGAAATTTGGGGTTCATTGTTCCATACCTACAGAACGTACACGCGAGGTGATGCTCGGGAGCCGAATGACTCTTTACCTCCTTCTGTCCAGCGTACGAGAATAAGATATGCTCTATCTTGGTGCGCGTTTACTTGAGGAGGAAACAGAGTCTCACCCCTTGCAGTGTTGGAAAAAAGGATTGGAATCGAAAGGCAAGTAGGGTGGCTTTCTCTCAGTCTTTTCCTAGAGAGAGAGAGAGAGAGAGAGAGAGAGAGGTAGTTGTTATGTTATGGGTTGTCTAGCTAGCTGTCTCTAATAATGGAGTTTCACGAGGATGATGGATAAGGAAATGGCAGTGTAAATTAAGGGCTTGTTGGTGGTGGGTGAGTTGTTGACTTGTTGTAGCTTATAACTGGTTGGAAAAAAGATGTTGTTGTTGTTGTTGTTACTATTATTATTACTAGCTAACTGGCCCGCGCTCTGCTGCGGGTAACTATAGGCATTAGTTGATTTGGTCTGAAACTGAACAGAATTGAGAAAGACCAGACCAAAAAATATATTTGGTGTATTTTGTTCGAGTTGGTCCGCTCAAATTCAATTTCAATCCTTCATACTTACAAAAATGATTTGTTAAATCAAAACATAATTGAAATATATTCAGTTCGGTTCACATATCAATTGGGTTAAAAATTTGGTACAATTCCGCCTGGTGTAGACCGGATCGTTACCCACACCTATTGACGCAAACTTAACTTAAAAAAATCCATATTCAACATAATCTCAGTCATGAGTAAATTTTTTTTTTAAAAATTTATGATATGAGCTCCTTAAGTTTAATGACTTTCTAACATGAGTTTTGTTGTATCCTATCAAATGTCATGGATTATATAGGTTCTCGAGATATCATACTTTGACTTCAGCTATTGAATTCCACCTTGTAATTTTTGCTTATGTAGTGAGTGACCTCTCATATCTCTCCAAGCATCAAAACTTATTCTTAGTGTAATATAAGAAGAAGCTTCAAACTACCAGGCCATGAAGATCGAGAACAACAACTACTTGTATAAGCTATTAATTAATGGACTCCTCATCATGCACAAATATCCCTCTTTGATAAATCTATGATGTAACCTATTCATTGGTAGTATCTCCCCAAAGCAATGAATAAGACCATCACGTTTTTTGAGAATCAACGTGTATGATACTTGGCTAACGAAAACGTTTTTCGTCCACTTGACACCCAACTTCATTGTGTGTGAGTGTGTTTCTGGTATGGCTAGCTAGACTGCTTTTCCTTTGTCATGTTAATATCTGATCAAGTTATAAGGAAAACAATATAATTCAAAAGTCTTTTGAAATATGGTTATAGTGCAAAGTTTAACAAATTAAATATAACCAAAGACTACTCGGTTTTAGTTTGACAAAACAAAATTGCCTTTTCTTTAACCAAAATACAAATAAGACCATCTGCTACATCATCATCAAATCGAAATCCATGTAAACTTATTTTTTTATACCAGAATAATTATCAATACCCTAATTTTACTATCACAAATCACCATTGATATAAGCCTCATTAGTTTGCTTCAATATAGAACATAAAACTTTTAAGATGATCTGCTTTCCTATGTGTAATATCAGCAATCCCTTTATTTCGCCATAAACATATATAATAATCCATTATAAAAGTACCAATAGCTGCGTTTCATGCAAGCTGTGTCTGACTCGGGATTATTTATAAGCGAAGATTGTATTTATAAGCGACACGGTGAGGAGAGGATTGAACGGTCGAGATCATGACTCGGGATTTATATGGACGGTGATCCGCGTGGGCTGCAAGAAACTTACAATAGACTCTCGCACAGTCTACTGGACCCCTTAAACCAATTAGGCTCTATTTATATACTAATTATTATTATTGGTCTGCGCTTTGCGGCGGGGTCACATATTATATTGTAGATTTATAATTTTATATATAAATTTTGAGATTTATTGAATTCGAAATGCTATTTGATTTTGAAAATGCAATCAAATAATATATTTTTTTAGCAACTTTTCACAAAAGCTTTGATGCATAATGGATACTATAAATATTTTTCTTTAATACCATAACAATGTTGTGTGAATAAGTATATACGTCTTACTGTATTTTATGCATATTATCGTCTAGAGAAAGTCAATTTATCGTGAAAAACATCTAAAATATATCAATAGTAATATTTTTAATTTAAATACCTCAAATTGAATATGTTTCTTTGGAATATATTTTCAATAAAAATTATTAGCTGATAATATAAAAAATAGTGTGAGACTATGAATTGAGAAAACTGTGAGCACCCTAACCAATTTGTGATTAGTGAACCATAATTGTTTACTCTAAATACTATGAAGAGTCAAGAGCACGTTTTGTAAAAGATAATGATGTTTTATATTTTGAATCCAAAAATTTAATATGATGAATATTAAAGGTGAGATTCCCCTCGTGATTTGAGTAGTTACTTTAGATAATTTGGATAATGGAAAGTGGTAATTGTCAATTTAAATTTTTAGTCATTTAAAATAAGAAGTACAAATGTAATTCACAACAAAATTCACTTTTCTAAAACAGGAAAAAAAATCGCTCCGTATTTCTCGGATCCAGGAAATCGGCTAGGGTTTTTTCCTAGTTGGCTTCAATCACGATGGCGGCGACGCCGTCGCCGGTACCTCAAGGCGTTGCGCCGGAGGGACCAAAACCTCCAGACTCTACTGCTGGAGTCCGTCGTCCATCTGAGGTAACCTCGTCCCTGGACGGAAAGAAGGCTCGTGAAACGCAGCACCCAAAGAAAAGGGTTCGGGGAATCGATTTAGCGAACGAGAATGTCAATATGGAGGAGGTTGTAGTCGAAGATATCACTGATGAAGAAACCCAAGAGACCCAGAAGCAGGAATACCCAAACATCCAGACTCAAAACCCACCATCCCAAACCCAAAGCCAAACTTCCCCGGTCCCGTCAATGGCCTGGGGGGTAGGTCGCAAGAAACTCTTTAGTGAAGCGGTCCGTGAAGAAACCTGGTATGTGGAAGATTCGGATTCCGAGGATGTAGCTGAAGCTATGAGAGAAGATGATGCTGAGGACTCCCCAGTTGAAGAGGAAGACCCGCGATGCCCTACTATATGCTTTACCAAGGGGGAGTGGCGCAGTTACCGTAGAGAATGGCGCTCGGCTATCGTCGTGAAGGCCCTTGGCCGGTCGTTCCCGTATCTAGTGATAGCGAGAAGGTTCAACTTGCTGTGGGCTAGGAATGGTCCCATCCAAGTCACCAATATTAGAGCGAATGGATTCCTGTTTATGAGATTTACCCATAAGATCGACTATGAATATGCACTTACTGGAGGCCCCTGGATGCTTGGAGATCATTACTTGACAACACAAAAATGAAAAAAGGCTTTAATCCTCGCACTTGTACTGTATTGTCTACGTTGGTGTGGGTGAGGTTACCGGATCTCCCAATCGAGCTTTTCAATCCGCAAGCTGTCCTTTGAATAGTAAGCAAGGCAGGAATACCGATTCGAGTGGACCGAGCTACTGAGTTGGGAGCATGAGAACTGTTCGCTCGTGCATGTATTGAAGTCGATCTCACCAAACCGCTTTTGTCGAAATATGAGATTGAGGGGGTGGAATATGAGCTCCAGTATGAAGGCCTCTCGAATGTTTGTTTTGAATGTGGTTCCTATGTCCACCAAAAGGGTCATTGCCCCATGCTACATAGGGAAAATCCTGATAGCCCATCGCCCCAGACTGAAACAACCCATTCAACACCTCACCACTCCGAAAACTACGGGGAATGGATGATTGCAAAAAGAAGAGAACGCCGGCCGTCCACAATTAGAACCTTGGCACTCACGGAGAGCGGTCGACAAGGAAACATGACTCTGGCCAGGCTCAACCCTCAGGATCCCGATTTGCAGTACTTGTTGAGGAGGAAGGAGCTGTAGAGTCATCCAAGGGAGTGGATCAGACCACCACCAAAAAAGTTGCCACTACGGTTACACTGGAAAAAATTGGAAATGGTACTCGTACCGGGACACCACGCCAACCCCAGCAGGTGTGGGTGGAGGAGCGAGGTCCTCACTCAGGCGAATCCAGTGCTGAAGTCATTATTTCCAAGGAGGGATCCATTATGGAGAAACATGTGGAGAAACCAAACCCGGAGGAGCAGACTGCTCATATAGCTGGAGGAGTTACGTTAGAGAGTGGCAATGGTACAATGGACATTGATCTTGAAAATACACCCAATGCGAAAGGGGGGAACCTCCAAAACCCACTTGGTCTAGGTGCCGACACCACAAACGAAATTACCTAGGGGTGAAGAGGTAGAGGATTATGGAGATAATACCACCTGGAAAGCGAATACCACTAGCCCTACTTTATTCGAACCATCAAACAATAGCATGCAAGCCATGCATACGGGTGAGACGGTCGGCGCACTAAATAAGTTGGCGTCCGGAATTAGTGATCAAGCTACGTTACCGATGAGCACTCTCGGGGTGTCATCGGCAACTAACTAATCCAAGCACCCAGAGATACCCTATGTCCTAGCTTTCCCATGGATATAAACATCTTTTCTTGGAATTGTAGGGGTGCGGGAAGCAAACGCTTCCTACGGGTATTCAAGGAATGCAAGCGCAGGTACAATCCGTGTTTGGCGGTGATTGTCGAGCCTCGTATTAGCGGGTCTAAAGCAGGAGATGTCATTGGGAAAATGGGGTTTGATAAAGAGCTGATCGTGGCTGCAGAGGGTTTTGCTGGAGGAATATGGATCTTATGGGACTCGGGCGTGATTCAGATTGCGGAGAAAGACCGTTCTTCCCAGTTCCTCCATGTTCAAGCTCAGTTGGGCACTCAAAGTTTCTATTTTACGGCAGTTTATGGTAACCCTGCATTAATTCAACGTCGTTCGCTATGGCAGCTTTGAGGAATATTGCAGGAGATATGAATAAGCCTTGGCTATTGACGGGAGACTTTAACTCCCTATTGCATGCATCAGATAAGCTGGGGGCTCACCTTTTGACGCCAGCAGGGTCAAGGATTTCCAAGATTGTGTACTGGACGCTGGACTTAGTGATTTACAGTTCTCGGGACTGCCATTCACTTGGTTCCGTCGGGGAGTGAAGGAGCGCCTGGACAGGGGATTAGCTAACTATCTATGGTCCACTATATTCCCGGAAACAACAGTTTACCATCTTCCTAGGGTCAAGTCGGACCATAGACCATTGTTAATTAAGCTGAACCCCAATGTTCAAGCCCAAGGTCCTAAACCATTTAAGTTTATTGTTGCGTGGCTTACTCACGAGGAGTTCCAAGGGATGGCTGATTCGGCATGGGCTAAGGGCTCTGACTTTCCTAGCAGTGTTGAAACCTTTGTTGTGGAGGCCAAACAATGGAACCAGAACACCTTTGGCGACATACAACGTAGAAAGGAAAGGATCCCGAGGAGGATAGAGCAGTTGGAACAGAGGTTGGGGGGGGGACGCTGACATTGTGTCCCTGCATAACCTTCGAGATGAACTAGAAAATATCCTATTACGGGAGGAATTATTGTGGTTCCAGAGATCGTGCATGGAGTGGATCGCTTCTGGAGATCGAAATACGAAATTCTTTCATGCGCGAACCATGCAGAGAAGAAAGCGAAATAGAATCCTGGCCTTGAAACTGGAAGATGGCGAATGGTGTGAAGACCAAAACCAATTGCAAGAACTAGCACGGAATTTCTTTGTGGCCTCTACCTGGATGATGGAACTCCCACCACTTCTATTCTACACAAATTCCCAGCGTTACCGCAGCAGGACTGGGTGGCAGTTGATGGCCAATTTAACATGGAGGAGCTGCATGCTGCAGTGAAGGGTATGGGACCACTGAAAGCTCCGGGCAAGGATGGACTGAACCCCCTCTTCTATCAACGTCTATGGACTATGGTGGGTACCAAATTCAGCGAGTTCGCTCAAGGATGCTGGGAGGAACCGTCTAAGATCAGCGTGATAAACGAAACTATACTGGTGTTAATACCAAAAACAAAGCAGCCCACACTGATCGAACAGTTCCCGCCCATAATTCTATGTAATGTGGGGTACAAAATCATCACTAAGTGCCTTGCGGAGAGACTAAAACCGTTGATGTCGAAGCTCGTGCATGAAACTCAGACGAGTTTTGTTCCGGGCAGACATATAACTGACAATATCTGTGTTTTGCAGGAAGTAGTCCATTCAATGAGAGCCAAGACGGGCAGAACGGGGTGGATGGTTCTGAAAGTGGACTTAGCCAAAGCGTACGATCGAATCAAGTGGATTTTTGTTCAGGATACTCTACAGGCAAGAGGAGTCTCAGACAAGTTCATAAAGCTGGCGATGGAGTGCATAACATCAACACGAATGCGGATCCAGTGGAACGGTGGCTTATCGGACGAGTTTACCCCATCCAGGGGTCTACGGCAAGGTCGCCCGCTATCTCCCTACCTTTTCACGCTATGCATGGAGCGGTTAAGCCACCTTATCCGAGATGCAGTTGACCATGGTAGCTGGAAGCCTATCAAAATAGCTCATTCTGCACCAGCTTTATCACACTCAGATGATCTAATTCTTTTTGGAGTGGCCTCAGACTTGCAGGTTCACTTGATTAACACCATCTTGGAAGAGTTCAGAGCCGCATCGGGACAACAGGTTAGCAAGGCCAAATCCCGAGTCTTCTTCTCAAGAAATGTCACCACCGAGTTAGCTGCGGAAATCAGTGATGGCCTGGATATTCCGGAAACAAAGAACCTGGGTAGATATCTCGGAGTCCCGGTCATCCACGACCGGGTGTCCAAGGCAACCTTTGTTGACCTGGTCGACAAGATTGATTCACGTCTCGCGGGATGGAAGTTCTCTACGCTCTCTCTAGCAGCCCGCATCACCCTGGCACAATCGGTCTTAGCAGGTCTGCCAGCTTATACGATGCAAACGACCTTCCTCCCGACGATTGTGCGCGAATACATCAACAAGAAGCTTCGCGCTTTTATATGGGGGAGCTCTGAGTCGGGGAGGAAGATCCACTTGATTGATTGGCAAACGATATGTCGCCCACGCATAGAAGGTGGTTTGGGTATGCGAGATGCCACCAAGATGAATGACGCATTCATGCTCAAATTGGCCTGGAGAATTTTTGTGGAGCCGAATGCATTGTGGACTCATATAATTCGAGCCAAATACCTGAAGCAAAGACCCCATGGTTTGGGACGAGAACGACAGGGTAAATTTCGAACATGTGGAGAGGGATTCTCCGGGTCATCCATCTGGTCCCCGAGTCGACGGTGTGGAATATACGGAATGGCCATGAGGTTAAGTTCTGGACAGATAGATGGCTCCATGATGGGCCAACACTTGCTGATCTTGCACCGAACCTGCCGACCGCAGCAAGAGACATTAGAGCTTCTGAAATGGTCTTAAACGAGGCTTGGAATGCGAATTATCTCAGGGCTTTCTTACCGGAGGAAGTTGTCTCCCAGATCCTACTTCATGAAATCCCGGCAGGAGTGGAGCCGGACGTCCCAACCTGGCGTTACACCCCGACGGGAGATTTCTCAATGAAGACGGCTTATGAATTAATTGATGATGCGGATCAAGGGGGAGCCGGACACCACAGATGGAAGGTGATTTGGAAGTTACCAGTTACACAAAGGCTTCGCACTTTCTTCTGGCTTGCCTTCCACGATCTCTTGTTGACAAATGTGGAGAGACGGAGGCGCCACCTTTCCAACGGGGCGGCCTGTAAAATTTGCGGCGGGATTGAGGAATCATTGATCCATGTTTTGAGAGATTGCCCATTCGCTCGAGGGGCATGGGCAGGGCTGCTTAGTGAAGAATCCGATGAAAGCTTCTTTCAAGAGGAGTTCAAGAGCTGGGATATGCACTCACTACCTTACAGGTAGAGGTAAGGACCTTGATGCTACACTCTTTGCCGTAATGTGCTTGCTGCTGTGGAAGAATCGTAACAAGTTTGTGTTTAAGGATGCTTTGGCGCCCTTTGATAATTAAGATGCAAAATGAGGCTAAGAGACACCACAAGCAGATCACATATGCCTTTGCCAAGGCTGAGCACACCTTGGGCGTTCCAGGGATGATAATGGAAACTACCACCCGAGGGCTGGGCATGCATTAACACGGATGGAGCAGTGATCCTGGCCCTTCAAAGCTCTACAGCGGGCGGTGTAATCAGAGTGATAATGAAATTTTTCGGCAGACGTTCACAATGAATTCAGGAGGAGGCTCAATCACCCGAGCTGAGCTGATGGGAATGGCACAGAGGCTTCGCTGTGCCTGTGAGGTGGGGATTCGGAAGGCTATCCTCCAGACAGACTCCAAAATAGCCATCCATCTCCTAGAGTCGGCATCACCTACTCATCC